CTGGGAGTTTGCGTTGGTGTTTGAAGTGAAGCATGTTAGTGACCCCAGCGTGGTCACCCACAGGCTTTGAAGCTCCCTGTCTGCCACCAAGGACGGTGGGGGATGCTCCTGTCTCACTGTGCTTGGTCCCAGCTGAACCTACACACCAGTTGTCCACTGATTTAGGGAATCGAGGAGCCTTCTCTTGTGCAGATGGGAGAGACTGGAAAGCTAATGACAGTTTGTTCTGGTGGATCTGAAGGACTCACTAGATATTCTTGAGGCAGCCACGAAGGACTCTTTGGGCAGCTGATGGCACCTTTGCAGCCTGTGGGGTGGCACCTGCAGATGTGGCCCTGGTGTCAGTGGTGGGGTATGAGGCACTGAGCTCCCCACAGCCCATCCCGGGCAGTGACATCCCACAGACCTGGAGCCAGGTCCCCATGGTCACAGCCAGGGGAAGTCACGGGCCCAAATGTCTCCTTTGCTGCAGAGGGAAGAGGAATTGAAGATGGAAGCAGTGACTAGAAAACCAGCCATGATGGTTTCTGAGACTTTCTTCCTCCCCCTTAAACTGTTTCATTGTAATTACTGTGCAAACAGAAGGCCTGGGTAATTATTACATGGAGTGATGGGTGTAAATTTAACATGTCGTTCCCATGCAGCCACACTGTGAAGGAAGATTTTTCCTTGGATTTTTCCTCCTTAACTCCCTGCTTTCAGTTTTTCCCTGGACTCAGCATAGCCAGTCAATGGTCACCTGAGTGGGAAATAGCTCCGAACCCTGATCAGCTGCAGGGACTGGCACTGCCATCAGGCAAACCTGGCTTGCAGGAGGATACAGCAAATCTGGAGATGCAGATTGTGATCCAGCCCAAAACACAGGGAAAGGGATGCAAAGTGCAGCTGGTAGGTGTCACAAGGCTTCTGAGAGCCCCCTTGTCCCCACCCAAACCTTGGTGGAGGGCACAGCATGAAGCTGTGTCAGGGCAGGGTCAGGTTGGATCTCAGGAAAAGGTTCTTCCCCCAGAGGGTGGTTGGCACTGAACAGGCTCCCCAGGGTTTGGGCACAGCACCAAGGCTGCCAGAGCTCCAGGAGTGTCTGGATAATGCTCTCAGGGACAGGATGGGATTGTTGGGGTGCCAGAGTTGATCTGGATGATCCTAGTGGGTCCCTTCCAGCCCAGGTTATTCTATGGTTCTATGGTGATTAATGAGTTCCAACAGGACACTCAAGCTAACAAATCCCATGTTTAGGTGCTGGGATTTATTTAAGGGTGTTGGGAAATGGCAGCATTGTGTTTCACTTCTCCAGAGCTCTGGTGGCCAGAGCTTATTGAGCTGAAGCACCAGTCTCTCTCTCTCTCTCTCAAGTCAGCACAGAACAAAGGTGCAGATGTATCTCAGGGATGGTGTTTTGCATTTTTATTTCTGACTTTGCCATATTGCACAAAAAGCCATGAATCTCAGCTCGTATTATTATTTATTGTAAGAGAAATTTCCATGGGATTAGAGCAGCTTCCCCTTTCAGCTGGTCATAACAAAGTGAATTTTGTCACCATCTACGTTCAGCTCTAAGCACGAAACGAATCAGCACAAATGTGGCTTGTTGAAACATTCCCATAGCCCAGGATGAAAGAGGTGGCTGCAAACAACTGGGAATGTACGTGTGCTTTTGTGTCTGGGTGTGATACAGTCAGACAAACCTGCACTGCTGTCTGAGCTGCAGCACAGATGACTGGGAAAAGATTCTCAAGTAAGTTATAAATTGTTTCCTGTCACCCCTGCTGCTGTCTCAGTCTGCTGCTCCACACCTTCCTATTACATTTGTTTCCTTCCTCCTTCCCTTTCCCTATATGAAAACAAAGCAGAAAGTGCTTCTGCTGAAGACACCCATGCTTGTGCCCTGCTCAGAGGATTTTTAGAAGAATCCCCTGGGTTTGGGTTGCCCAGCTCTCACAAATAAACTACTCAATGAAGCCCATTGCTGAGCAGTTGGTTTTCTGCTGGTTGGCTAAAGATGCTGTTGGAAGCAGTTTCATCTTTTCAGTTTATCTTTCATTTCCCACACATACATTCTGTAGCATGACACGTCCTGCTGGGAGCTAAACCTGTCTGTGCTTTTGGACTCACCTCCACTGTTCATGTTTTGTTCCAAGTCCCACAACACCCAAAATCTGTTGGGCTTGTCCTTCCTGTGCACAACCCCTCTGTGGTCCATGTGGAAAGCTGGGGGTCTATATTTGTTCCCACAAAGAGTCAGGTGTCCTCCAGAGTGTCCAAGGGGCCCTGGCTTGCTCTTGGTGTGTGTGCAAGCACCATGGGAATAATGAGGTTGAGTAGGTTTGGGAACAACAAAGGTGAAAGGGGTTATACTTTCCTTCCTCCTCTTTTCCTTCTTGAAGAGCACTGGATCCATTTTGCCTCCGGACTGTAAAGGAAAATTAAGATATAGAAGAGAAAGAGCCAAGCCTTCATGTTTCCAACATGCAAAGCCCTTTATTGTGCTGAAGTTTGCCATAGTATCCCCACAGGTCTTGGGGGTCCTTCGTGTGCTTTGTCACTACAACACTCCTTCAGCTGGTGGTGCTTTGGCCGCAGGGGAGGGGTGTTTTTAAGATGTGATGAATTCATGCCCAAACTTTGCCTTGTGGCAACAAGACCAAGGTGATTTCCTACTTTATGTAGGTACTTTTAGTCAGTCCAGGCTGCTTTTCTAAGTATAAAGGGCTTCTTGCTCACAGCTGAGAGAAGCACAGGGAACCTCTCTTACAGAAAACACAGATCAGGAAGAGCATCCTGAGGATTTGCTCTGCTGTCCACTTGTCACTCCCCTGGTGTGAGTGGAAAGGGAACATGTCAATTAATTTTGTTTACTTGAATGGAATTAATGTTTTCCTGCATTTTTAAAAAGATACTTCATCTAACTTTGAGCATTTTTTTATTTGAACTGTAAAAATAATTTTCTGACTTTTTTTTTTTTTATCAAAAGCAAGAGAACATATGAAAGGGAATCCTTCTTCTGATCAGCTTCCACTTAATAGATGTGTATTTTTCAAAGGGTTGTTTGCATCAAACTTTTCTAATGAGCTCCATGGACTGGACATGGCCAAGAAAAATGCCTGGCTTAAGGTGGTGCTTGTTTTGACTTCTCCCATCTGTGGAATAAGTGGAGAAGCAATTTTGTAGGTCACAGGATGGGATGGTGAAGAGAACAGATGAGATAAAAGTCCCTTATACCTGAATATTTTTTGACAAAGATCTAAATAAAGCTCTTGGTCTTGTACAACAGGGTTACATCCTGCCAGTGTGACCAGTCCTGGGTTTTGACCTGGCCTGATAAGTCTGGAAAATTACTTTGTAATGTTTAGATACTGCCATTATTTCTGCAGTTTTGGAGTTTCATTCTGGGTTTGCACTTCCCCAAGGTTGTCAGAAGTCTGGGCTGGGCTAATTCTCTGTAAAGGAAGCTGAAGGGCTCTGTTGTTTCTGTTTCTTTTAAATATAAATTCAGAGCTCTCTTGTTCAGTGCCTTGGAAAGTAACTGATGACAAAAGAGATTTGGAGTTTGGATAAGATAAGAATCAAATTGAATATTTATCCTGAACCAGCAATGCACTCTGTCTATTCAGGAGATGCAATGGGTTGCACTTGTTTTAAAGCAGTTCTTCTGTTTTCTTCATCCCCTAAAATTCTCTGTGCTGGTGTTGGACTCAAGCACTAAATCTATCAACAGTCACAAACGCCGCAGGGCAACGGTAAATTTGTCTCTTAAATTTGGTGATAGTGAACTTCCCCATCCCTTTTTTGTCCTGGTGAAGTACCACAGGAGTTAAAAATACCTGGAGATATTTTTAAAATTTGTCAAGAAAAGGAGAACTCCCCAGAGCTGCTGATTTCAGAGATGGACCTGAGCTGACGTACCTGTATTGCCCCAGCTCCTAAAATCACTGCAGCTCAGCTTTAACATCTGCTTCCCTTTCCCAGATTGGGCAGGACACTTAAAGTCAGGATAATTAACCATGTGCAAGAGCACCCTCGAGCAGGAATTCCACTCTGCAGCCCCCAGGCTGATATCTCTGAGCCTTCCTGCTTTGGTGAATTGCAGTTTATTCCTCTTGGACCAAGGCCTGGTGCCTCCCTCCTTGGAGACCATTCCCATAATTCCTGTGTAATTAGATTAGCTCTAACTAGACCTACCTACAACAGGCAGAATAAATTTTTCTGGCCTCCCCAGATCCTGTTGAAAATGATGCCTGTGGTCCCTCCCAGTGGGAGCTTGTGCTGAACAGAGACACAGTGAGGGAAAATAGCCTTTTAAAAGTGAAGATTTATCCAGCACTAATAGCAGGACTAATGAAGTTTAAGAAGTGTTAAGTGATGTTTCTGGTTTTGCTTTTATTATCTGAATCCAGTAAACTGGAGTCCAGGAACCAGGTGATATATCAGGAGGTTGATGTAGGCATTGAGATGGCTGGTTCTTCACTGCCTCTTGATATTTATTTAGAAGGCACTAGAAAAAACATTGCATTTTCTGACAAACCTGCCAATAAATTTACTCGGTAGGCACAAATAATGAGCAGCATGGGGACATAGCTGGCAGATGATAGTCTTGACATGTTTGTAAGCAACTCAAAATCCATTACCATGTGATCAAAATTGCACAAGAGTCTAAGGCAACACTGAATCAGGGTCTAAAATCTAATATATCAATTGTGATATGCTACCTAGTAATCAGCTACAAGAAAACTTATCTCGCTCAGGTTGTATTTCTAGCTAGCATAGAGACTGAAAATTAAAGAATTAGCATATTTGTGGCAAATAAAATATTATGCTTCCAAGCAAGTGACTGTCCTTATTTAATGCCCTGCTTTGTATTTAGAGTAGCTGCAGAGGCACATCCTATATGTGCTCAGTACAGCCAGCTGAATTATGTGTTTGGAATAATTCAGCAGAGAAATTCATGTCCATGAATAATCTGCATTCAGATCATGACCTTTACCAAGCTGTGCTTTTTCCAGGGCTCGGGGCTTTCGGCTGACACTGGGAAGAGACAAGAACACAGAGAAAGTTTTCTCCCATCTCCTCCCCTCTGGTAGGATTCCTCATTTTGGGAGCGGGGCAGGAAAGCCTCAGCCCAGGGGATGTTTCAAAGTGGGAAGAAGGATTTTCTGAGCTTGTTGCTGGAGCTGGGGAAGCAGTGGTGTTTTAAGGACACACGAGGGGTTGGGACCTCAGGAGCTGAGGGAGCAGAGCTGTGAGAGCCGTGTGTGGCAGCAGCAAGTGCACCTTTGCTGTCACTAAGCATGGACTGAGAGCAGAAGTGCAGTCCCCAGAGCTGAGCTGATGTGTAGCACCTTCCCAAGCCACAGTCACTGACTCCTCTGAGCCCTGGAGGGGTCAGATGGGTGGGAGCAGCTCCGGGTGCTGCCGGTGGCTCTCACCCCTCAGCCAGGGCTGCAGAGGGAATCCATGCAGGCAGTGGGCAGTGCTGGAGTGTGGTAACTTCTGTCTCACGGTTGTTGGATTCTGGGAAACGAGGCAGGGCAGTCTGTCCAGGTGATATGTTTATTCACTGAAACAGCTGGATGCTCATCCCAGCACTAACCTGATGGGAAAACACTAATGAAGCAGCTCTCACTGTGTGAGCTGAGCTCACTCTGCACACCTTAGTGCGTTAGAGAGAACAAAATTAAAACAGCGTCAGCACCATGGACAGGCACTTCGAGAAGTGCAGGTTGCAGCTCCGAGTGCTTGTAAGCCTTGGTAGGTTTTACTCAGCGTGCCAAAAACTAATAGGAAATAAAATAGCCAGAAAGCAACAGGGCAGTAAAGTGTCAGGAGTGAAAACTGAGCCAGAGATTTCCACTTAGCAAATATTATGTCTTGATATTAGGTGATTCTGACTAGTGATTTTAGGAGTGAACTTTAGCATTTTTATTATGAAACATTTACATTCTCCCTCATTTGCTTTCAGCAGTTGAACAGAGCTTTGTGCTGCTCTCACACAGAAACGTCTCATGAATTCTGTGACGTTCTTTATTTGCTTCTTGCGCTTGAGAGGGTAAGTAAAGTTCTGTATAACCTGCTGCTGTGGGAGTGAGGCTCCCCTTTGGCATGTTCCTCACATCCTCTGGATTATCTGGGTGAAGGAAAACATCACAGGCTACAAGTCCTGGTGTTGCTGTGGCAGGGGCATCGTGTTCAGCTCAGCAGACTTTGGTGGTTCAATACACCAGGTCACCCAAGGAGCTGATTCTCCTGCAAAATGAGCAGGAAAACTCGGTCTTGGGGTTGGACCAGGTAGGCTGTAGTCCTGACTTTGCTGTTTCTCCCATGGATAAAAGCAGTGCCTCTTTTTCCCTGCCTGTAACATGGGGGACTGGTAATGTTGTCTCACCGTAAGGGTTTGGAGAGTGGCTGAGAAGCTCAAAGCAGATGATGCTGTTCCCTAGAAAATGTGCATGAAGCAAGATTGAAAGGGTTTGAGCATTCAGCACTCTGAAGTTTATTTGCTGTTTCAGCTTGTTTGTTGTTTCATCAGGCCATTGAACAATAGCTAATGAAAGGGGATGACATGATATTTTTTTTTTACAGGATATTACTGTTCCTGTGTCTATGAACCAATTAACAAGCAGCAGCTTTGTGTGTGGAATGCAGCAGTGTTGGGTTCTCCCTGTCAGGGCTTTGATGACTGCTGCAATAGCAAAAACGTGACTGGATGGGGCTTTCATTATTTCATTATTCTCTAAATTTATCTTAGGCTGCTAAAGAATTAACGTGAATAATTTTCCCATTTCACCATCTGCTTTAGACTCCATCTCAAAGGGTTCCCAATGAGCATGGTATGCAAAACCCTTTAAAAATGATCCTCTCCATATTTCCTGCACTCAGCAGTCTGCTAATGTGGCCAATAGATCTGGGTGAAGGGCCTGCATGATTTAGAGAGGATCATTAGGGTTATGATGAGCTGTGCAACTGTCTTGTTTATTCACAGTTAGCAATTTCAGAGCAGTGCCTTTTGTCTCAGAAAAATTTTTGCATTCAAGCTTTTACAGAGAGAGAGTAGTGCCAGAAACTCTCAGCCAGAGACATCCACCTTGGGCTCAGGAGCACAAGCTGCTCCACTGCTTTCCATCTTATTTCCCTCATGGGTTGGGCTGGAAACGCTGAGGAGCTCTGGTGAGCTCTCCATAATTGACATGAGGGTAAGTGCTGGTCTTCCACTGGCATTGAAAGGGTTATTCACAAAGAGTTTACATTTCTTGACTCTGTCTCTGTCTCTGTGCATTCCCCACTCCCATCTCTCGAGTCCGGGGTTTTATTCAGTCTTTGCCTACCAGGGTTGAACTGCACCAGAGCCTCTATTAAACATCCTCGCTGTGCTGCCTCTCAGGGCAGCCCACAGTGCCCTCCTTCCTTGCGAGGAGGAGGAGGAGGATTAGGAAGATAAAGCATTTAACCTGCCTGTCAAACAAAATTATTCACGGCAGGTGAGCAGCCGAGCAACATTCTGCGAGGTTCCCGTGAATAATACATGAGATGGCCAGTCTTGGCACGGGAGTGTTGCTCCAACTTTGGAATAATTCACACGCCTGAAAGGAAAAAGGTGCACACCCCAGTGTTTTTCGTTTTCTTTGATAGGGGCAGGCTGCAGCTCTGCCCTGTGGGGCTGTGGGTGTGCTGGGAGTGTGGGGCAGGGCAGAGGGGCACAGACACTCGTCTGTGTGGGTGTGCTGGGCTGGCTCTGAGGGCTCTGGCTCATGCCAGAGCCCCGGCTGTGCCCGCACGTCACCGTGTGACTGTGCCCACCGTGTCACTGTGACTGTGCCCGCGGGACGGGGCCAAGAGAGATTTATCACTGTGGGTAAAGCTGGATCAGAACGAGGTTACACAGCTCTGGGACTGCACCTAACTCATCTCCTGCCATCCTTGGGCCGGGGGGAGATAAATGTGCAGCCGCCCTCATCTCGCCCCGCTAGGTTTTGTTTGCAGTTCAGATTTCTCCCCGAAGTATGATGTCATTTTGTTTTTTTGTATTCAGTGAAAAATATTATAATGGCACCATTTCCTTCCTTCAAGTAAAAAAAATTGTAGAGCAGATCCTTTATTCTTATGAAAAGCCTCTGAGTCCATTACTTTGCTGGGAATTGGATTTTTCTTTTATTCTTGAAAGGAGCTGCTCTCCTCACCTAAAAAAATATTATATTTTGGCTGCAAAAAAAATTTTTACCATGTTTTGTAATAGAATGCATAAAGGACTCTGAATATTTTAATTTTTTATTATATACAGAAAATCTTAACTTTATATTTTGAAGTACTGGCACCGTATAAATTAAAACAAACAAACAGTAAAACCTCCAAGTTGTTTTTTTTTTTATAAACTTTTATTTTCTCTTACTCTTTCATCAGTTAACCTGTCTTGGCTTTTTATTCACCCTGTCAATGCACGTGATAATAAAAGGGAATACAAATGTGCTGGAAAACTGTGTTGTCCAGCACTTCACAAACACACACACATCCCTCTTGGTTTGAAAACTGTATTTTGATTACTGATTTGCCAGTGCCAACATAAACAAGTCAAAAAAAATCTTGGTACAAACTCTGTAGGTCAAAGAGGGTCTGTGACTTATTGACTTTGGCTCAAGCATTTGATGTACAGACACAAAAGAGATGGAGAGACGTGGCTGACCTGCAGAGATCCCATTTCCAGGAGCCATCCATGGGAGGTATCAGGAAGCTGTGGTGGACAGGGAGGTAAATAGAGTGGGTGTTACAGATTTAACATATGGCTGCAAGGGCACTGGAGTGAGGCCTTTAATTTCACATTGGGATTCTTCTCCTATTTGTTAGATAGAACAATATTAACCTTTTGAATTTATTTAGAAACTCATTAGTGCTTTTTTTCTATAGTCCATTCTTTTCCTGATTAGCTCTCCTCATTACAATTCAAATTTCTTTCTGCTACATTTACCACATTGTCCTGCTTTCTCTCATCTCCATTGTTGCTCAGCTTAATTTATGAAAGCAATGAAAAGGGAAGGGGGGGATTGGGTGACACAGCAGCCTCCTGAGCCTTTGGTGCTCAGGGAGGGAGGGAGAAGAAGGGAGACACCCCTGAGTTTGCCTTTTCCCCCAGGAAAAGGGGTGGGAGGATGCGGCAGCAGTTTCTGTAGGAGCGTGGGATGCCAGCATGGCTCAGAGTGGCAGCAGCAGGAGATAAAAGACCTTCTGGCTCTGCCTTAGCCCGTGCCCAAAGCTGCCAGCCATGCACTGAGGTGCCAGGTGAAGGCAGCTGCCTTCACACATTCCCACAGTGACCCTCCCCTGCTGTGCTGCTGTAGCCTTGGCTTTCCTGCTTTCTCGTTTCAGCTGTTGCTCAATCCCACGGTTTTTAAATGGAATTCACTCTGAAAGTTCAGTGTCCTCATCATGTCCTGGAAACAGATGTGACTGATGGCCCTGACTCTTCTGGCATCCTCTTCGTGAGGTTGTTTTTAAAACTGTGTGTGTGCCTTTAGTAGCAGTTCTTTTGTGTACTTTTCCTTGATATCAAGATGGAAGTCTGGGAGCTGCTGTAATTGCTCTTGACTTCACACATCTCCAGTGGAATATGACCTGATGCTTTGATAAGGTTTCTTTTAGTAAGAGCCTGTCCCTGTTTTGGGGGAACTGGAATAGGGAGATGCTAAGCTTCATTTATACAATTGCTGCCCTGATCTGCAAAATATTTTTTGTTGGGAACATGGAATTTTTGGCTTTTTTTTTTTTGTTTTATTTTATTTTAGTACAGTGCTTATTCCTCAGCAGTAATGCTGCTGTGTCCCGTGTGCTCGTGATTAAAGATGCACACACTTCTGACAAGAGATGATTAAATACAGCCAGATGATTTTAACCATCCCAGTCATTGTGATTCTCTGATTATTGGTGTGTTTGAACACCTCACAAATGTGAATGAATGTGTTTATGCAGCAGCTATCATAAAACAGGGAAGTGCCAGAGTATTTTATTTGAGGCACAGAGGGATTAACTCAGCAAAGGTTACAGAGAGAGGTTTTGGCAGGGCCACAAAAAGAATCTAAATTTTGGAGTTTCTACTCCAGTGCCTTAATCATAAAATCATCTTTTCTCTGAATTCTTTTCTATCTGTGGTAATTATAGTTTTGGCTGGGTTTATGTCCTTTATAAAAACCTGTCTTTCACACATCTTGTGAAACTGAAAGAAAAAAAAAAAAAGAAGAGGATAGAACAATCATAATTTTCCAAGTGTGTAATTCTGGACTCCAGCAGAGGCCTAAAACAAGTAAGGTAATTATTCCACTCAGTTCAGCACCATTTGGAGAATTAGGCTATTTCGTGAATTGTAGTTTTAGGATAAGACACACGAACTGGAAAAAGTTCAGTGAGCAACATGTAAAATAAAACAAATGCTTGCAAATATCAGCTGAAAGAAAAGGAGCTGGCTGCAAGCCTGGACTGTGAAGGTGGTTGGAGTAAGATGGGAAAGGTCAGTGATGTTGAGGGAAGGTTAAAAAAAAAACCAAACAAAAATAAAGATTTTCTTTAAGTTATGGGGAAAATGCCGGGGAATACTACATTAATTCCTGGTGGAAACTAAGGGAAAAAAGACTTTCCCCAAGGATGAATTTGGCCCAAGGTCAGTCAGGGGGAGCTGCCAAGGGGAGGTGGAGCCATCTAGTTAAATTCTAGACCTGCATTTGTTAGTGCTGGTTAATTAACTTGTTCCTGGCAATCAGCCACCAGGGCAGGAGGTGGACTTGATTTGCAAGTTCTGATTGCCAAGAAAGTCACCCATAATTGCCTGTGATCTCAAAGCTTTCTGATTTTCACCTCGGTCATGTGTTCCCCTGGTTTCGTGGGATTTTTTCGTTTGTTAGTTTTGGTGGTTTTTTTTTTAAATTCTCCCTCCACAGGTTCTTACCTTCCTGTAACACCATTTTCATACTTATTGCTACTGATGTGATTGAACCTTTGCCATGCTCTGATTTTGGGTGCAGTATCCACGGGGTCTGGAGAACATCAGCCATTCACATGGATAAGAGGAGCAAAGTTCCCTGTTGGCTGCAGAGGGGATTTGGGATCATTACCTGTGGCTGAGGAGAGCACAGTGTACTTTAATGGGGGCTGTAAGGCACCCTTAAAGTATTTATTTCTAGTTCTAAGTAGCTTCTGGGTGCTAATAGCCCCACAGGACAGGTTTCTACCTCCTTTCCTCAGGCAAACCTTCATCCAGTTGCAGTTCCAGTTCATATTCTGTAATATCTGAACATGCCTTGTTGTACAGTAGCCAGCATTCCTGAGAGGCTGCTTGGTTGTCTGGGAATGACACAGGGGCTGCCAAACAGGACCACTGTTGCTGAAGGGTCATAAAACTGCTCATAAAATCCCCTTGGCCTTGGTGGGGTTTAAACTGCAGATGGGGGAGAGCAGCAGGAATAATGTAGGCTTGGAGTCCTCATATGGAAGGAACCAACCAAGGGCTGAAATTGTCTTCTGTTTAATGAGTATTGTAAAAGAATGCAGGTTGGCTGCACAATACATGTGTAATGCAGAGCCAGAAGCTGAAGAACAGGAGGAAAGAAGGTTTGGGCTTGTTCCTTTGTGTTCCTGGAGGGAGGAAGGTGATGGAAGTTGCCACGCTGCAAGTTTCCAGTTAACCAACCTTGGACTGTTTCTTACTTTTAAATGGAAGAAATGAGGAAGAAGGGGAAGTGCTAGAGTCTTAATTGACTTTTTTACTATATCCTGTGTCCAGAAGTGAAAGACAAGGCTGAGAAAGCACAAATGCTTCAGCAGATCCTTCTAGCAGCAGATTTACTGCTGGTAGGAAAGCAATTATATGAACAGGACCTTGGTTTATGGTCCAGCCTGTGGCACAGGCATGGGGAAGTCCTGGGGAGCTTAATACAGGGGAGACTTTCAGGGAAGGAGGTTGCTGGGTCCACAGTGAAGCTGTTGGGTTTGGGGCATTTTGGTGGGTGATGGTCTGCTGTCTAAAGAGAGAGTGGTACCAAATATGTGGGACAGGAGGGGTTGCACATGCACAAAGAGACTGAGGGGAGTGGGTTGTTGCTGAAGGGGAGGGGAATAAAAGCAAGAGAACGATATTAACATTTGATTTCTGGCAATTGATGCAGCACGTAATAACTTCCATTTCAAAGGTTCTCATTTGTGCCTTGTTAAGACTCCAACCTATATTTAATGGTGGGAGTATCAGTTTTTGCTTCCTTAATTATCTGCCTGCAATTGATCTCCATAACCTGCTAAACCTCCACTTGGATCTCTGAAGCACATGAGGTTTCTCACTGTATCCTGAGAGACACAAAATTAGACTGGAAGCTTTTTCTTACAGCCTGTGTGTTATTGTGGTGTTTTGCCTCCTTGTGATATAAGCAGAATAAGAGTGAAAAATGGTGTTTTCAAATATCTGTGCCATGTTTCTAGGGGTGTTCCCAGAATGTCAGGCAGCTTTCTGCTCAAAACTCTCAGTTTCTTTTCCTTAAATGGGATGTTCTGGGTCCAGACCTAAGTCCACCTTGCTGCAGGGGCTCAGCAGCTGGAGCACCCTGGCAGCCCAGCTGAGCAGACAGCTTTCACAGTGACTCCCCGGGGTTTTGGACACTCTAGGACTAGCCCCTGTGTCATTCCCAGACAACCAAGCAGCCTCTCAGGAATGCTGGTTACTGTACAATATTCAGATATTACAGAATATGAACTGGAACTGCAACTGGATGAAGGTTTACCTAAGGAAAGGAGGTAGAAACCTGTCCTGTGGGGCTATTAGCACCCAGAAGCTACTTAGAACTAGAAATAAATACTTTAAGGGTGTCTTGCAGCCCACATTAAAGTACACTGTGCTCTCCTCACCCATAGGTAACGATCCCAAATCCCCTCTGTTAGAACCCTAGTTCTAACTCCAGGTTGGCATGACTGGTTAGTATCTTTTGAGCTCATAGGTTGTGTTAGGACAGTGCCTAGTCCTAACACAGCCCAGTTAGTCCAGCTATGTGTATAACCACCTCGAGGAGTTATGCTCCTGGCGAGCTTAATTCTCCGTGGATTTCACTTAAAACAGAAAAATAAGTATATATTTTACATTTTAAAAAGGTGCTTATCCAATAGAATGTTTTATGAAACAATTTTTCATAAATATTGGATTTGGGGAAATGCCTCTTTGGCAAATTTTCTTTGAATCTGGGGGTTACTCACATTTCACATAGTCTGGACTCGGTGCATTGTTTAGCTGCAATTTCTCCTTTCACTTTCCTGTCTGTAATTGTGCTGTAGACCTTTCCCAGAATATTTCATTTCGATGTGACTCATCCAGCTTCCTAAGACAAAGCGCAGCTTATTCAAACTATTCTAAATCTATTTATCCAGGCAAATATTTGGACATGTAAAACAGTAGTAAAGTGCTACGACATCTATCAGGGCAGCAGAGCACACAAAATCTGTGCTATTGGAAGTCACTCCCTGGTGTGCTTTATCTGGAGGTATTAATTGGCAAAGAGCAGTGCAGGAATTTGATTCATACCCAGACCCAGGCAGTGAGTGAAAGCTTTGCGTGTGTTTGAGCTCCATTTTCTCAGCACTAAATTTAGTTTGCACAGGCTCAGTGCTTTATCAGAGATGCCTCAGCTCCAAGGGGCTCTGAGGTTTGGGGGCTGCGTGGAGATCTCTCCTCTGTGTCACTGGTTCAGTCTTTAAAAGCCAAGGGTTGTCATGAGCTGATGGCTGTGTAATGGATTCCTCAAAAGCAGCTGGTATCACTGTCGAATTTATCAGGTTCTCACGTTTTATCTGGGATAGATTGGGTATCTGAACCTCACCCTTGAGGATTTCCCAGGCAGCTGCTGCCTGGTTTTGCTCCTCGGCGTGACTGAAAAGCCCTTAGAGCAGGTGCTGGCACCGAGTGTGAGCCCTCCCTGCAGCAGGGCAGGCATCGTGTCAGCAGGGGAAACGTCTGGGAAGAAATGGGGAGGATTTCTGGACTGCTCAGAAAATCCACTTTAAGTTTTCTTCAAGTCCAGTTCGATGGGGTTTGGCAATTTCACGTTCTCATCATGGAAGAGACTTCAAGAGAGACTCCTCCTGTCCCCAGATTAAACTGCCCCCCTTTTTTTTTTTTGGTGGAATCTTGTTCTCTGAATTGTTTAGAGAGGCTACTAGAGCCCATGTGGGGTGATGGGAGGTATAAATTGCCATATATGTGGTTAGTAATTTGGCAACATTTCCCTGCAGCCAGGGCTACAGATGTGATAGACTGGTGTTTGTTCTCCTTTTTATTTTGGCTTGCTTTAAACTTTTGGCTGCCTGAATTAATGCATTTCCTATTGATTCTGTAATGAAGACAGAGGCCTGAATTCATATGTTGCTTTTTTTATTTGCATTTTTACTACAGTCAGTCTCATTTCCTCGTTGCTGAAGGCCATCAGTGAGGAGCTGGATGACTTGTCTGTGCTTCTGCTTTTTGTAGTTTTCCAAAGCTCTATACATAATAAATCAGGCACCCTTTTTTGCTTCTGCAATTAACTAATCCACAGTGTAAAAGGAGCAGTAGAATTGATTGAATATGTCAAGTTTTAAGCCTTAAGAAAAAAAATGCAACAAAATAATGAAACACTTCCATGGCGATGATTTTCAAAATTGTTGTCCTTGTTCTTACAGAGATTTAGCCATGAAATTAGAATGAATAACAGACTTTGCTACCATGTCTCCCTCCAGTCAATCCTGACCTACGCTTGAAATGAACTTTTGATGTGACACCTTCATCTCTGCAGCAGACAGGGCTTCATCTTTCTGTTTGTCCCACCTACAGACAACTCTTCTCTGCTTTCTTTAAGGTGAGTAGTCCAGCAGCAAAACCAGCAGACAGGTTGCCTGGCATGGATAGCTTGGTTGTAGCAATTCCATGGCCTGTGATTTTTTTCCTTTATGGAGGCATCTCAGTCTTGTTGCTTTACCTTCCTTCCCTGAACAAGGAAGATTGAAGCAAAGGAAGGTTGAAGGACGTTTCTCAGCAATGTCTCTGAAGTTGCTGACTGGCACTGAGCCATGATAGTCACTCAAATCCACATTAAGCTGCATTTCAACAAGAAAGCATTTGAGCTCAGTCTGACCTATTTTCTGAAATAAGAATTTGAAAGTCCTCCCTTGCATAATGGGCTGTGTTGGCACAGCATCATGAAAGCAAAGTTGGATCCTGTGTTCCCTCTGTACCAGCAAAGTACTCCTCGGTCAAACTACTTCTGCTAAATTAAAACCCATTTTCTTTAAAATATGCCTGTAATTTATATGGTTAAAATAGTTTCCTTCCCTGTGATATTGTACCCTATGAACTTCCCTTTTTTTTGTACAGAGAGCCACGGGCCATTTATCGTGCACTTCTTGCTCTCAGGTAATTCTGTTCTGGCTGACACCAATTCCTTTTGCAGTTCTGCTTTGCACAGTTCTGCTAGGGAGGCACTCTGCTCACACCCTCCAGCGTGCAGAACTCCTTGAATCCAACCCTTGCAGGAGGGAAAGCCTGGATGGGAAGAATGATGTTCCCATCAGAATGATGTTCCACATTCCTTTTTTCACAGGAGCTCTTCAGTGGATGCTGCCTGTCACCTCAGCTCCTCCAAGGGGGAAGTTCCCCTCCAGGATTAGGTGCTGGAGGCAGGTCCTTTAGTGCTCCTGCACACTGGGCAGACTGAATGGATGGGACAGGGGATTTTATATTTCTGTAAAAGGAGCTTATTTAAGTTCATATTGGCAAAATACACAATAGTAACTGCACAACCTGCAGTTATTTCTGTGTAACATCCCTCCACCAAGTGCCGGAATTTCCTCCGAACAGAAGAAGAGCGTTGGCAGTTCCAGCTCTGTGTAATTGTTTCCCAGCATCCAAGTACACCTACAAAACATTGCCTGCAGCACAACACTGGAGATGATTAAAAGAATGTATTTTTTTTTCGCAAGGATAAAAGATTTTATAGCTCTTTGGTAAATGTAAAAATATTAATTGAAGGAAGTATTAATTGTCAGTAGAAGAACAAATGTAGCTTAAATGTATGTAAAGATGTTGGAATTTACAAATGAGCTGGTAATGTAGGAAGTATAAAACACTAAAAATACTTAATTAAAACATACACATTTGAAGAGCAAAAGAATCAGTAATTTCAAGTAGTCTTCATTTTAATAGATATTTCCTGAACTTCACTGAGCCTGATTGTTTCATGTTGCAAATAATTCCTGTTCACCCTATTTTTTTATTTATTAAGCAATGCCATTTTTGCTGCTTGTTTACCTCTCTCAGAACCTTCTTTCTAATGTCAAGTGAAGAGCAGCTTCCACAGAAAGTGTGTATAGAATTTGGGGACTATGTCACACCTCTGAATGTGATGGACGTCACCGTAAGGACCAAACACATTCTAGTGATCAAACCCAAAGTAGGAAACAACTACTCAGGGAAAGTGAAGGTGAGTTTTGCTTGGTTGTGACAATGAAAACTGGCCAATTACTTCAGCATTTAACAGCTCGGGAGGTTAGGACAAAAGTCACAGTAATTTTTTCCTCTGGACTGCCCTGAGTTAATCCCTTGGTGCACTGTGGCAGGTCTGCAGAGCCTTGACACTGCCCTGGCCCTGCTGGCCCTGCAGATGTAACACAGAGGGAGAGCTGCCCTCTCTAATCTCTGATGAGGAAAGCATTTATTTTTACTGGTAAGAGCGAGCTCTCTCTTAAACTGTCACAGCCTGGGTCAGGAAAGCATTAGGCCCTGTTTCCTTGGGAGCTGCTTTGCTCCTCCTCTGGGGATTAGCTAGGCATTAGTCATGGCTTAGCTGGGACCTCTCTTTGCCCTTTCCAAATAAATGGCTTTGGAAGAGGAGGGCAGGGCTGTGAGTCTTGGAAGGGATGAGGCACCTTCTGGCCAAGCTCTGCTTGGGCTGGCTGATTTACAGGGCTGGGAGGAAGCTCTGGGGAGCCCATCTCCCACGGCTGAGCAGGAGGGCAGCTGATCTCATTTTGCCCTGGGACTGCTGGGTGATGGTGGGGCTGAGGCTTGGTCCTTGTGGAGGCTGTCTCAGAGGTCAGAGGGGAGCACAGGCACAGACTCATGTGCAGGGCAGAGAGACATTGTTCCCTCCATGGCATCTCATCAACTTGTTAGGAAGTATTCATGAAAAAACATCATATTTACGAGGCAGTTTTTATGCTCCTCTCCTCATTCTGAAACAAATGCCAGAAATCCTGCCTAGCCAGGAGAGGAAAAGGCCCTATTCCTTATCTTACAACCAGTGGAGGAGGTCTGAGGGCTGTAGTCACCTCCACATCAGAGCAGTGCTGCTGGCAGGATGGGGGACCTTACTGATCTCTTCCCATGGTGATGCCACTGCACAAGGCCTGATGGACAGTGTGAGCTAAATCCTGCATGGTGAATTTTTCTGTACTTGTCAGCATGTTTTACTAATGAAAGAAGAACTTATGTAAGATATGGAAACCAGTGGGAGTGTTTTGACACTGACTTAGAAAGACCAGGATTTCACCCCATGGTTCTTCAGTTACTTTTCTGAGTTTTTGCTGGGTTTTTTTCCCTGTTTTTTTCCCATGTCTTCTCCATGCACTTTTTTCATTTTGAATAGGAAATATTTGCTGCTGTCAGGCCCAGGGCAGGCAGGGACTCCTCCAAGGTACTCTGCCCATCAGAATGGTTTATTTCAGAGATGGGAAGTGCTGAGATACTTGGATAATGGAATCTCAAGGTATTTGTTCCCCTCTCTTTACCAACATGTGCTGGGTTCCTGAGTTAGTCACGTGGAGCTGATGGATGTTTGGCTTTAATTCCTGTGCACATCTGTTTTTGAAAACTGCACTGGAACAGCCTCTACAATGGCAATGCTGTGTTTTGTTCTCAGAATAATTGAGGTTCTAGTGCCATTGCTCAGACCCAGGGCTGGGCTGACCTCTGCTTAGGGAGTGGGGATGAGGCTTCCACTGCCAGTCCATCTCCCATTTGGCCCTACACCTCTGGAAAAGGGGGGGGAGCATATTGAAAAGGAACAACACAATAACATCTTCCCAGTGACCTGCCATTACCCTCTGTGTCTTTTGTAGCTTAAAGCAATGTTGCACATGAACAAAGATCAGCAAATACTTTTCCAAAGGCAGTCAGAAACTGTTGTTCTTTATCAGCTCAGATCTTTGCTGCCTGGGGCTATCTGAATCATTCTTGCTAAAGTCTAAGGGTGATTTCCTTTCTCTCACTGTGAAAAGTTTACACTTAAAAGGCTCATGCATGAAGGACCAAAAGACATTTAGTTTGGCTGCAGAGTAAAATAGTTTAGTGTTTCCATTGCTTCATTACTTTGTGCTGGTTGTTACAAACCAGCTTCCTCACAGCCACTGCTGCTGCTGAAATCTGTGCTGGGTCCCTGCACATGACACGTGCTGCAAAATGTTCAGTTTGCACCAATTGTTGCCTGTGCTGGAACAGCCAGCATCCAAAAAAAAAAATATCTCTCTTCTCCAATTCACGTTGCTAAATTTGTGTTGTGTGGGTGTTTGTCTGTATTTTCCTATTTTAGTGTCTCTGAAGACATCTGACAGGGCAAGAGGAAGCACCAGGGATGCAAGAAGGAGAGGTGAGGGAGGCCGTGAGGAGGATGAGATGCTTGGGGAGCACGGTCAGAGGCACAGCAAAATAAACCTCAGAGAGGAAAGGGATGGAGAAATGGGTCCCTTTTTCTGACCCAGGCAAGGTGCATTCCTGGCATCCTGGTGCACTGGCTCTGTATGTCCCAGTCCTCCCTCCTCTGGTTATTCTGAATGTGTGTTGCCAGTGAGGGTTAAGTGTCACATTAACACAAGATTTGTAGAGAGAGATAAAACCTTTTTTAGACAGAGACATGGTCAAGGAAAAAAAAAAAAAGCATTTTATTGGGGTGTATAAGCCTGTCCTTGCTGTAAGCATCAGGCTCCAGGACATGGTTATCCTTCACATGGCAGCTCTGGGAGATTGACAGGTAACAACAGCAGCCAGGTTGGTAAAACTTTCTGCAGCTTTAGTGTCCATAGCATCTCGCTTGCTTTCCTTGAAAATGTTTTTCCTTAACTCTTCTTTTTCATTTCAGCCTTAAAAATGGTTGGAAAATTAGATTTTATTGATGGGAGAATTGCACGTAAGCCTTTGCTTTCAGAATTGCACATAAGCCTTTTCTTTCACCTGTGTTTTCAATGGAAATAAGTCTACTGCAACCAAACTTCTTTTTTTCTGGTGGTTTGGGTCTTTTTGGATTGGTTATTCAGTGCAAACTGAAAAATAATAACAATTTCATTAAAGCTGAGGGTGTCCCTGAACATGTGCTTTTGTAGAAAATACCACTTTTCTTGGGGGGAGAAAAACATTTCACTGGAAAACTTCCAGCCTGTCTCGATTTGATTTTTGCTCTTTCTACATTTTGGCTCTGGTTCTCCATCAAATCATTTGGCTTTGTGTGTGCCCCCTTCCTCCCCATCTGCTGCACTCTAATGGGAAATAAATCTCCAAGCTCTTTTCTATTCCTTGCCATCCCATAGTCTTCTGCTCTCCCTGAGTCACTGAGATCATACATCTCCATTTATAAAACACTAAAAGTATCATTTATATTTTTTTTTCCCAGAATCCCTCTTGACCAGTGTCAGATACAGAAACACTGAGAAAATAAACCTCAAGGATAAAAAATATCCTTGTGGCTCTGTCTGCTGTAAGGATAAGATCCTTTTTCAATGAAGATGGATGCTCTGGCTTCCCTCCCTGCTCCAGCCACTTTTTTGTCTCCCTCCCAAGCCAGTCTTGGGAGTGTTGGATGGGACAGATGTTGTCTCTTGTGTGAGCAGTGCTGTGCTTTCCAGTCCAAACCTCTCCCTAGCAATTGGATCTGGGTAGCTTGAGTTCCACACTCCAGGATATGCCTTGGACCGTGGCTTTCTTCTGCCCTGTTTTGTGTCAGCCTGACAGGGACCTGTGAGTCAGGCTGGTGCTCTCCAGCAACCAGCAGGGTCAACATCATCCTGGATTCAGCAACATCCAGACATCCTGTTGCCTACTGGGACCAGTGTGATCTTCTTAAGCCACCAGCTGATGTGCTCTGAGTTGCTGGTTTGGAAAGCTTGGGTTCCTGATTGTTGAGGTGCTGAAGGTGCCCATACCTGAGCTAAGTGTTTAATGCAGGATAAACCTTGGGCTGTGATGTTCTTCCTCTTCCCAGTGAGTGTTCTCCTGTTGGCACATTCCATGGAAGCCATGCCAGCTTTGTGGTGGGGCATGTCAGGGTCACAGGGAACAGCTCTCCTGTGAGGAGAGGCTGAGAGAATTTGGACTGTTCAGTCTGGAGAAGAGAAGGCTCTGAGGTGACCTTTGGTACCTGAAGGAGCTCCAAGAGAGCTGGAGAGGGACTTTTGTCAATGGCATGGAGTGACAGACAAGGGGGAACGGCTTCAAACTGACAGAGCAGGGTTAGGTTGGCTATTGGGAAGAAATTCTTCCCTGTGTGGGTGGTGAGGCCCTGGCACAGGTTGCCCAGAGAAGCTGTGGCTGCCCCTGGATGCCTGGAAGTGTCCAAGGCCAGGTTGGACAGGGCTTGGAGCAACCTGGGCTAGTGGAAGGTGTCCCTGCCCATGGCACGGGGTGGAACTGGATGATCTTTAAGGCCCCTTCCAACCCAAACCATTCTATGAACCAGACCCAGTTTCAGTGTCCAGCACAGCCTGGGGGAGTCAGGGAGCTGTCAGCATCCAAAGGCTGCTGAGAGATCCTTCCTCTAAGGAAAGGCACCACAACTTTCAGAGGTACCATTTGGCAGCACCCAGTCTCCTGGCATTCCAGTGGATCTGGTTCATTTTCACCTGTCCCAAGCACATCCAGCTGCTACCAGAGGCACTGAGCTGCACTGAAGTGCAAAGGCAAAGGGAAGAAAGCATTCAATTCCTATCAGGTAGGTGAAAATTTGGTTTTCCTCCTGCTCTCTCCTGCCTCCTGGAGAACAGACTGTATGTAGAAGGTGACCTTTTGTCTCCTTCCTCCCCACCCCAGCTGAGGGCGATTAGGCTGACACATCTGATGACAGATAGATACCAGCATGAGCAAATTGTGCTTGAACTTGCTCCAGAGAAAATTGTTCCAGGGCAGGCACAGGCTGGGGCTGCATTAGGGAGAGCACAGATCACAGGCAAATGTTTGTGTCATTTGCAAACGCCACTGCGAGGGGACGTGGATGAACAGATGAGCATTTTGAACTCTAAATGTTACAGGAGAGAACATGAAATAGTGCTCTGTGTTTGACTTTTGAAGGCTACTCTTTGGGGGAAGTCTGGATGAAATCAGATCAATCCCTACCACCTGGATTTTTTTTTTTTCTTTCATCTTCTGTTTTACTTTTTTTTTAAATCTTTTTTTTTCTAAAGTTGACTTCTTGCTTGTTTGGTTTTGATGGGTTTTTTATTTGTCCCACAAGAAATTTCTGAATTCTTGATATTCACCAAAATTTTAGTTAATGCATATGCTGAGTCTTCATAGTATGAGTGGAAATTAGGAAGGATAGATATGGAAGAATTTTAAAGCTGTAGAAACTGTTTATGAAAATAAAACTCTGATCACAAGTCCTACATGCAAAAAAAAAAAAAATTAAATGCAAGAACTTTGAAAGTATATCCTTGCCTGTCCAAATAGCATTTCCAGGTTGATCTGCAGGAAAGCCCCAGTAACTCATTAACTCACCACAATTTAATGAAGAACTGTGTGTTCTGGTCACATCCATCATTCTGCTACTCTGGTCTGAACAAACTCAGTGTCTTGTGAGGATGCACAAACCTGAACCCTGCAAAGTCTGCTCTCAGGGCAGTGGAAATTTCCTTCCTGGCATCTAATTTGAGGATATGAGGAATATTTTGGAATTAAATGAGTACCATACTGACGGTCTCCCAGTCATGCCAACATCGTGCCTCTCCATCCTTTGACCTCAGAAAGGCAACCACAGTCCAGGTGACAGCTCTGTCCCTGAGGCTGCAGCCAGAACACTGGAAATATCCGACTTCTCCACGATAAGTTTGGCAACCCAGGTAATTGCATACCAGTCCCACAGGTTTCATTAGTCTGTCTGTGTCCATGGCAGGCTGATCCTGCCTCTCTCCTCAGCAGTGGCTGCACTCCAGTACCATCCATCTCTGGCTGTCCCCTTGGCTGCAGAGCCCAGGTTTTTAATAGACGTGGCCTCAACAGGTTCAACAGGTGCCTGGTGGAAGGAGCAAAGCTGCATCTCTGAACATCCTGGGCAGCTCTGAACGTCCTGGAGGATGGATGGGCATTTGGCAGCCTCAGAAATTATTGTCTTTCCAAGGTCAGAGGATGGAGGGGTCTTGTGTTGCCACGACAGAGGAGAGAGACAGATCATTAATGTGGTAGGTGCTTGATCCCCAGATATTCCTCATGCCTTAAAATAAGATGCCTGGAAGGAAGTTCCCTTCCTGCAGGCCCCCCCTGGTGTCGCTGCAGCAGCTCCAGCTGCTCACAGCACCCTCAGCCAGGTCACCCCAGGGTGGTGTGGGCTCACCCCCATCCCCTTGGGTGGGTGGGAGGCAGGATTTCAGTGCCTGTGGCAGCCTGGCCCTGGTGAGGGGAGCTCTGACAGTGATGTGGGAGGACTTTTTTATTTGCAACAGCCCAGGATTGCCATTGTTGAGATGGTCCCAGCCACTGCTTGTTCCCAGTGCCCAGAGAGCAGCCTGGAGCCTGTGCCAGCAGCCTGGGGAGCTGTGTTTGAGACAGCAAAATGCCCAGAAATGTATGTTATGGCTGGGAAGGTTTGTGTGTAGGCCTTGTCCCACTGATGGGCTGTTATGGGAAATAACACCTTGATGTTGAAAGCCTTAAATGCTCCTCAGGCATTTTGACAGTGCTGCATGGCTTCTCCTTAGGCTGCTGAAGCAACAGGGGAGAGAACATTTGCTTTCAGCTCATAAACCCCAATTTATTTGGTATTGGTTTGTTTTCTTTGGGCATTGATGCTGTTGTGGAAAAACAACCCATCCTCCTGGAGTGCCTTAGTGGGCTGCAGGAAAGTTTCCTATTGTTTCATGGTGTCTTCAAGGTCTTTCCTGGATGCATCCTACCTCTGGAACCAGGTTCTTGCCTGGTGTTTGTGCATTCGGTGTCCTGGGGGGTCTGGGCTGGGGCAGAGGAAGGGTTTCAAATGGCTTATGAGTTCTATGGCAGCTGCAAACAGCTTATGGAAGATGGTGGCAAGACAATATCCTGTAGTTTAGTTCACTTCTGCCTTCTCAAACTCCAACTTACATTTAAAACCAATCTAACAGCTCATCCAAGCAAGTATCCAGCCTTTTGCCTTTGTTCCTTCCACCCCTCCTCCTCTTGTTCATCTCATTTCATCCTCCCTCACCTGTTTTCTCTGCACCTGGCTCTGAGCTGCTCCAGGCCATGATGAGCCACCACACATTCCTGTCAGCAATTTCAAAGGATTTTTTGGATGTCAGTGCTTTTGGGGTGCTTTTCTCCAAAAATAACCTTTGCTCCAGTAGGAGTCCTGTGAGTTGGGAGGCACTGGTGACATTTTCAAAAGGACCTGTGTAGTGTAGGAGCTCAATGAACAGCAGTAAAGAGATGTGCCTTGATCCCTTATATGGTATTTAAAATCACTGCCTGCTGTCTTGATGCAATCCAGGCAGATGATTAAACATCTATATATGAGGATTTGCATTTATCTTCTGTAGTCCAAAGCAGAAAATGATCTGTTTGTGGAGACAGTGAGGTTGCTGTGTTTGTGGTTGCTGAATGAGTTTTCTGTTGGATTGGAAATGTAGTTTGGAGAGAAGTACTCAGGGGATAGAGATTTGGGGTGGAGTAAAAGTGTGGTTTTCCATCTGTTTGATCAGAAGATCAACATGAGTGTTTTCAGGAAATAACTTTCCTCCCCAGAAGAAGCAAAACTTTGAAGCAGATTCTAAAAGCCATGGTTTCTCTCCAGAACTGCCACAGACCAAGCTGTAGACCAGGGGTTGTGTGAATGTGAAGCTTCTCTAGAACTGCTGTATGGCTGACTAAACCAGCTAAAACCCTCTCCCTGAAGGCAATCACACTCCACTGAGGAACCACAGCACCGAAGGTTGTGAGCCAGGGAGAGGGTTGCTGGGATGTCTGAACAGGTGGAGCAGAGGACGGTTAGAAACCATCCAGTTATGGGAAATATGAGTCATGAAATCCATTGGATAAATTTAAATACATTATTCTAGCTTGGAGGAGGAGACCATCTGGGTAAGTAGAAGGATGTGTGTCTTGCTGAGGGGAGAGTTATTTCAAATGACAAAAGAACTGTCCTGAGCCTGAAAGACCTGCCAGACCCAAGATAAAAAAAAATATCTTAGAATTACACTGATTCAACGTTTGCATATCAAGAATCCAGCTAAGGGGCATAATGTTAAAGTATTTTTAAAAGACTTCTGCTGGTATTCACCAGCTGTATAAAGCAGGAAGTCGAGGAACTTTCATCAGAACTTCATATTATAATATCCCTTTTAGAGATTTTTAAAGAAATCTTGTATTTGAACTCCAAATTCCACGATGGCCCTGCTTTAAACAAAAAACTGGAAAAGAAATGGGAGGCTCTCCCTTCAGCCATATTGCAGTGGGCTCAGACAGGCTGGTAAGACAACCTGGCTTTTAACTCGGTTTTGAGAGCTAAGGCTCTGGTTTGCCACTTGGCTCATCCCTGAGGGTCAGGGTTAGTGGCTGGGTAGCCAGGTGGCCTCCTGATGAATGTCCCCCATCTGTGTTTGCCCAGGACCTGCTGCCACAGGACACAGAGCACACACAGCCTGGTGTTCTGGCTCTGCCTCCTGGCACTCACACTGGCTTCCAGCAGCAGGCACCCTGTGTGCTGCACTGTGCTCAGGGAGACTCCAGTCCAGCTCTATCCATTTTCACAAAGAGCAGCAGGTCCTCATGGCAGAATGAGACACATCTGGGAAATGGGAGAGGCAGAAGGAGAGAGGAGATGGGTTGACCCATGTAAGGATGGAGAGTAGGGTGAGTAGCTCATGATTTGCCCAACACTGAGCTGTAGTTGAGACTGAGGAAATGTGAGGGAAACAAGCTGAAAACAATGGCTCAATCCCTCTGGTCATGCTGATGGACTGATCATCTCCTGTCATCCTGTCAGGAATGACCTGCAGAGCTTGCTGGCACCACCACTTCTGGAAATCCTGGGACAACAGCAGCCCCCAGAGATCTGCCCCTGTGCCAAGCATGGAGCAGAGACTGCCAAGGTCTGCAGGGGGGATCCAGGTCTGGTGCCATGGCAGAACAGGACTTGCAAAAAACAACCATGCAGGTACTGCTGCAAAGGCCCCTGGGGCTTCCTCTCCACCCTTGCTTTAGACAGCCATGATAATTCTGAGTTTTATTATATTTTTTACAAGCATAGATCTCAAAACCCTATGGTACAGGCTCATCATTACCGTCTTACAGATGGGGTCGCTGAAGCATAAAGAAGGGAAATGACTTCCCTGGAACCATTAACTGGGCAAATGACAGGGCTAAAAATAGAGACCAACCTTTCATACGACACAACTGCCATTCCCATCTCAGAGAAGAGATGCCAAGGAAGTTGGTCAAAGCAGGTAACAACTATTTAACCCATGCAGAACCTCGATGCTCTTGGTAAGATGTTTTCATGAGATGCTCCACCAAGAACACTCCAATGAGCCAACACTTTTTTGGAGAAAAAATGGTTGACAGAAAGGACAGCAAGCCACATATGGCTGTAGTGCATGTCAATCACACAAAGCCTAATGTGTTCAGAAGTTCCAAATGCCTTTTAAAGCTAATGGTCTGTGCACTAATAGCTCCTGGCCCTGGCATCCAGGCTGGCAGCTGGTGCCCCTAATTGGTAGCCCCGAGGATGAGCACGTGGGCAGGCAACTGGATTTCAGGAGCAGCGAATGGATTGGGATCCCTGCCTTGCTAATTCCATCCTTCAGCATGGTCTTTAATCAAGATGAAAAGTCAAAAGACCACGAGGGGGTAACAAACAGCAGCTCTGCCCGGTTCCCGGCGTCCAGCTCGCTCAGACCTGACAGGCATTGCCAGGAACAGCCAGGACAGCAACAGCTCATCAAACTGCCTGAGCTGCAGCTGTTCTTCTTCCCTGTGGTGCCTGCTGGACAAAGCTGGAAATAGCATCAGAGCATGACACTCCTGTCTCCGGCCTTTTTGGGGATGCAGCGTCGATTATTTGAGGGGTGGATGTCAAGTCGTATAAAAGCTTCCAAACACCTCCAGCTAAGCCCAGCAGAAGCAAACAGCCTGACATGGGCTTGTAACACCTACTAGTGATGGCATTAGCACCCCTCCTCCTTTTCTCCTTCCTGGTGTCTGCCTGGTGGAGTGTGGAGGAGAATCACCCTGTAAGGCAGGGCCAGGGCAGAGAGAGCAAGAGCACTGAAATGGCTGAGGAAGGTTGTCAGGGAGCTGAAGCCGTTCAAGGAGGTGTCATGTATTGGTGAAGGCAGTGTGGAGTGATCCAGCCTGCAGCCAGAGGGTGGCTTGAAAGCTGGTGTGTTGCCTCAGCTTAACAGAGCAATGGGTACCACCTGTTTCTGTGACAAGGCATCCTCTGGTGTCTGTTTTTAACACAACAGTTAAAGTTTTGATGTTCCCTGAGAAGATTAACACAATTAAAGTTAACCCATTCCAACACCTTTTGCCTCTGTCCCCTCAAGAGCTGGGCTGGCTCAGACATGGGAGTTGCAAAGTCCCTGCAGCTGCTGAGAATCTCCTGCTGATGCTCTGCACATATCTAGCACCAGCTCCAGTCTCCTGGATGAATTGGAATAATTTCAGATTGAAATCTTTTGGGGAGACTCCTCCTGCCTACCTGACTGAGGTTCTGCATTCCCCAGTTCCTGTCAGACCTCAGAACTCCTATTATCTTCCCAGTAGCTTCTACCTATTTGTTCCAGATTGAGCAGTGGAGATTGGAGTGTCACAGTGAGATGCAGAAAGAGATCACCAGCTCTAAGCATACTCATCATTAACCTTCCCACCATTCTCCAGAAATATCCTTTCCCACTCGGCTTGTGACTGAGTCTGAACCTTGCTCCAGATGGCAGTGGGCTGAGGAGAGGAAATTTTCCTGCAGTCAGAGCTCAGAGATACACAAAAGAGGGAAATTGTGAAATTGCAATGACAGGGTTGTTTGGGTAGCTTGTGATGTTCTGGCTTTAGAGAAATCCATGCCTAATGTGCCTGCATGGCAAGGTAAACTAAAGACCATATAATTCTATTTAAGCTTAACACAACAGGAAGAAACCCATGTCTCCCTGACTCCTGGCTGTCTGCAGGCATTACAACTGGTTTCTACACGTGCTGCTCAGTCACTCCATGTTAAAGAGCTTAGGATAAAGAATTTCTGGGATTTGGTTACTACAGGGCTTAAAGGCCTGGCTCTGCCAGACTCACACTTTCTTTGGATGACCAGGCACAGCGTGACCGTTCAGGGTTCATGGAAGGGAGTGTCTCCATGGTCCTTGCACCACCCCATCCTTTCTCCCTGCTCCCCTCTGCTGTAAAGATGAATTTTCCTGCTTCTTTTTTGCTGGTTGTCACAAAACTGAGCCTGAGATGAGGGAGGAAACCCCTTCCAGAAGCCAGGCTGGAGCTGTGAACGGAGTTTGGTTCATGCAGTGAAAGGATAAGAACCTGGGATTTGGAGTGCTGGGGTGAACTGCTTGTTAGGCAAGACAGGCACAAGGGGCTGGTGCCTTATAGAGCTGGAGGCTCAACAAGGACTAAGGAAGCAGTTCCCAACACTGTGAGATGTGGTGCTGCATTTCTCTATCATGATCTGGTTGTCCCATAGGAGAGGCTGAATTCCTTGGAGCTGGTGGACACCAGGCACACCTTGAACTCTCTCCAACCTCTACTTCTCCTCTCTTCGTTTCTCCTGTTACTTCTCATCCATTGCATTTGTCACTGCATTTTGTCTCCCCACCTTCCCGCTTTTTCTCCTGATCTTTGCAGTCCTGTTTCCAAGCCTGGAACATTCAGGAATATTTGAGCTCAGCAAATATTTTCTCTTTTGTTCAGTGTGGGACTTCTTAAAAGGTTAGCTGTGTTTTAATGCAGCATCATGGGTAGCAGTGTGTTAAAGTTAGAGCATCGTATATTAAACATGCAAACAGATACTTTTCACAAAAGCTGCCTCATCTTTTGCTGTATATTAATAATGCAGGGAGTTCTAGATCATCTGTCCCTGTCAGTGCTGCTGCATTTTGATACACTCACAAGGACTGGCTGTTAGAGAGCAAAATACACGAGGATGTTCCCTGACCTTTTCTCTCCTCTGCACCTGTAAATTACAGAGATCCTGTACAGGCAACCCAGACTGCATCCTGGCAGCAATATTTTGGTAATGTCCACGTGTGGAGTCTGGATATAACCTAGTATGGAGTGAATGCTGTTCTGAAAGGTTATGTTAGTGCAGACCTCGGTGATCCCCTGAATTACTTATAGGATCCTCTTCTGTGCCAAACAGTGAAATCTAATACCCATTCACACTTCTGATCTCTGTCTCACATCCCTGCAGGCATCCATCACTGGACACAGTCCTACCTGGAAAACTGTAGGACAGTAGAAGGGAGGCAGCAGGGAACTGGGGAGTTTATTTAGTCCCTGAGGTTGCAGTGGGCTTCCACAGGACGATGTGGATTTTAGAAGCCTGACTCTGTGAAGTGGTGTATGTCTCCCATAACAACACTTTTTGTTGAAAAGGTAGGAAGGAGCTGCACTTCTGAGCTCCAAAAGTGGGCAGAGGCTGCACAGATGGGGTGGGTTGGCAGCCTACAGCTCCCAGCTACTGCTGAGACCCCCCCAGGGAGGGTGTCTCTCCTGTCTCTGCAGAAGTGACTCAGGCCCTAAGAACTTGGGCACTCTCCCTATGCCCTGCAATGTCTTTCTCTTCATGAAATTCAGCTCCCCTCATTTGGGTACCTGCAGGTGGCAGGACTGAAGTGGATGTGGCACCCCTTTTCACCATCATCCACGCAAACAGGGCTGGCCTTGGTGAGTGTTTGCAGGCTAACAGCGTGGAAATGTGGGGTCCAAGGGTCTCCCCTCCAGCTGGCAGGCACAGCTACCACCTGCCTGTGTGGGCAAACACTGGCAGCTGCCGTTGAAATGCTCAGTTTCCCTTGCTCCAAAAGCCATAGAGTTATTCCAAATGCCACAGTGACAAACACTCCTCCTTTAGCCTCTGTTATATTCCCGGAGTTGACGGTGGCAGCAGGAGCTCAGCTCAGGGAGGGGTATTCCCTTGTTCCCAGCTGGAGCTGTGCCCAGCCTGTGTGGGGTGAGCACAAGGAGAGCTGTGTCCCCAGGGGCAGCTCATGGGAGAGGTGAAGTTGCTGGAGAAGTGCCCAGCACCCATGGGCAGAGTCACAGCCAGGGCACCAGGAGCCAGACCCCCAGCAACAGCCTGGGTGGGGCGAGGGGTGACTTTCTGCAGGGAAACACTCTCTGGAACAACCAGGACAAGGACTGAGTCTCCCAGAGCCCTCCCAGGCACTGGTACATTATAGCCCCCAGACTGATGTAATTAATGAGACATCCTGCTTTATGTAATAATGTGTTTTGTGTGACTCACCCTAATGAACAAAAACAATACGATGTGCCGCCTAATGGGACTCCTGGTCCTTATGTCCCAGTGCTTGCTGTGAATTATTTAAGACATCTGGAGGGATTTGTGAGTAATGAAATCTCTGCTGATTCTGTCTCACCTCAGATGGCCTCAAAGGTCTGGTTCAGCAGCTTTGGTTCTGTTTCAGACTCGCCCTTCACCTGCACGATGTGCAGCTTGAAAATTTCCCCACGTTCTTGTCCTCTACTTTCACTTGGCTCTTGGCTGTGTTTCCCTTGCCCTTCCTCAGCTTAAAAAATAAGATATGCCTTTCCTTGTCCCATGTCTGCCTTGGGTGAGCTAAATCTAGGTCTGTCAGAAAGGAAGGGGATCTCATCCAGGGCAGTGTGTGCCAGGTGTGCTTAAACACTGCCTAATATTCAACCTCTTGGGTCTCACGACCCCTCTTCCTCGCAGGTGAGATCCTCAGAGCCAGAGAACCATAGGAGCACTCAGGGCTCTGAGTGCCCTTTCCTCATGGCCAAACTTTAGGCAGCCAAATGCACCTGGAGATCCTTTGAAAACATGGATATAAAGTCTGTCATGGGTAAGCCAATATGTGTCAGTCGAACCCATCAGCAGGCTCAAGGTAGGAAAAGTGGATGGGATGTACCAGCTACTAAACAGATTACATGATCTGTTGTAAATCAGAGGTTTGGTGGGTCCATGGTTGGTGCTTCTGTTGCAATAAAAATGTTTGTTGAAGGAAAAAAAAGGATGAAGAGAGGAGGAAGTACAGGACTTAGTGGTTTTGGTGTTCAAAGGAATGAGCAGATAAAGCATCTTCATGAAGGAGGAAGCTGACAACCACGTTACTGGTAGGGGTTTTTGTTTAATGTTTGTTTTGTTTGGGGTTTTATTATTAAAAAAAAATAAAAAAAATAAAAACCCAAATGAACAAACAAACAAACAAACAAACCAAAACGAAATTCCCATTCACTTATTCACTTTTTCACCCTTCTCATGGAGGTTGCATTGCACTCCTAGAATTTGAGGCTGTGTAAACACATTCTGCAGCCTTGGAATGAAGAGCCTGAAGGGAACGTTGGGAGGATTAAAGATTGCTTCCAGAGGATGGATGTGAGCAGACAGCTGGGATTTCCCAGGGCTGGGAGCTGGTGCAGAGCCTCAGCACTTTGTAGCAGCTCTGGATCTGCCGCTGCCAATGGCCAAAGGGAACAAACCCAAACATCTGCCACCCATGGCTTCTGACCAGAGAGGGGCAATCCTCCTCACTCCAGAGATGAGAGGCTGATGTAAAGCACTTCATGCCCTGCTTTTGCTGACATGAGAAGGGCACAGATGTGAGGGAAGTGTTTCTCTTTTTAGGAGCCTGCCCAAGATTACAAGCCCACGACAGAGCAATGGAGAGGGAACGAGTCTCCTTTGAAGGAAGTGACTTTAGAGGTTTTTGTGGAAGCCAAAGTGAGGTGGGTGTTGCAGTGGTGCCACGAATGGGGTGCTGACACAAACTGCAGTGCCACTGGACACAAATGCCCTGAGCTCTTGGCCCTTTCTCTCATTGGGTGCATGTTGCCTAATCCTAAAATATCTAACCTGTCATGCTCAAAAAAAGCAGTTTAGGGGGCAATCTGTCCTTAAAGAGCAGTGGCTGTTAGAAGTACACAAGTTAAGCAGGTGTGGTGGGATATTTTTATCCCCTTTCCATGAGTAGGAGGATTTAAGAACACTTCAAAAACAGAACCAATATTAGTTTTAAGTACAACGATTTAAATAGCTCATAATTTTTCTACAGCCATCAGAGGCCAGATTTTTGTAGGGTCCAAACCTTTGTCTCACATTTAAGGTCACAGAAAGAACTTTAAAGGAGGAGCCAAGGGGGTGTGAGTGGTCAAGGTGGGTGGTGGGAGCATGTCCTGGATGATGGCTTGGCTTTTGGCAGTGGTTATCACTATTAGTTAAAGAAGTCTGAAGTGTTTTTAATTCCAGCAGAATCCATATCAAGAAGAGTGGTAAAATCTACATCTCAGCTTTCCTGATGTTCCTGAGCCAGCGCTGTAAAGGATTGAAGGAATGACTCCATACAAATGGTCTTAATCAGACATCCTCCTATGATCACCTTCTCACTCCTCCTCTCATCAAACAACCCTCAAGAAAATTAACCTATCCTTGCATGCATAGTTAAAAAGAATGCAAATAATCATGTTAACAAGATTTATGTTTATTCTTGGTATAAATTTCCCCACTAGGGAAGTTTGTCTTAATCTCTACAACAGACTGCAAATGCTTTGGCCAGTAGATTGATGGGCTCTGTGAATTACCAGGCCTTAGTCAGAGGATGATTTGGCTCTTCTGCTCCCCTGAAAGCAATAGAAACATATGGGATATTATGGGAAGAAAATTTTCTTAAAAAAACTCCCAAGGCTCTGAGAACACCGTGATTGCTAATTCTTCCCAAGATGCAAAGTTTAAAAACAATTAGATGGAGGCACAAACTGTGCTGGCAAATCCAACTCCATGTGCAGAGTTTTCTCTTTGCAATTGCAAATTGAACGGTGAGTTGAAACTCTCCCCTGTGGAAAAGGGGAAAGCACAAAGGCTTCTGCCCCTCTAAAATCTTGTTTGTCTCTGTGGTGCTTACAGAGCCCTCATTAACGAAGTATTTAAGCATGTTACAACCTTACTGCAGCCCAGGAGAGCAGCATTCATTTTGCAGGCACAAATTGCAGTTACAGGAGCTGTGTTAACACTTACCTTGGCTCAGCTGTCCTGGGAGCAGCCGCCTGCAGCATCCCAAAACTCCAACCTTATGGGCAGGCTGTGCTGCAAACCCCATCTGCTGCTGGGGAAGGTAACAAGGATCCCTTGGAAAGATCCTTCTAAGATCCTTGGGCCATTTTATCTCCCCAGCCTCTGTCATTAGGAGACCCTCACACAGCAGATATGTGGGGGACAGGCACAGCCCTGGAGGCCCATCTGCCTGGGCAGAGACAAATATGTTCTTTCTGGGGGCTCTTAATCTTTCTCCATACCTATTTTTACACTCATTTTGTGCCTCTAAGTAACAGGGAGTAAAAGGATATAAAGTGACTTTAATATAATTGAGAATAAAGTCCTGTAGGTCCCAAGAGGTCTTAGCAAACTCATCAACACGTGCTAATTAGAGGTGCTAAAGTGTTTGTGTGTATGGATAATGCAGTTTCTGTAAAAAGATAATTTTCTATCAAAAAAAAATTAAATCAAATCAATGCATTTTGTCAAGAAGATTTAAGTGAAACATATCATTCCAGTCCAGTGGATCCAGATTGAACTATCTTGGCATATTAAGTCAAATCAAAACATGTCATTTGCAGTGAATTCAATATCTCTTTGTGTTTGCAGAGCTGGTTCAGTGCCTGCAGGAGCTGTAGGTCAGATCTTGTGTGACATCCTACTGCTGCCTGAGAGTGTGGTGGCTCGTGTCCCTCCCCAGGCTTCGTCTGGCCAGGCAGAAGAGAGGGACAGACAGTCCCCCCAAGGATCTGGGAGATGCTGTGTGGTTTTTTGAAGGCTCAGGTGGAGGTAAAGCTGCTCAGCAAGGCAAAACTTTTTGATTTATGTAGGTAGAAATGTTTCTAAACAAAACACGTTCAGGTAATCAGATTTTCTGATGGATGGGAGCTCCAGTTTGCAATATTCTCTAACCACAGTTGCCTATGACTCATACTTGATTTGCTTTTTCTTTAGGCAAAACTCCCTCTGTGCCACACCTTGCTGTGTTCTGGGCTGAACCAGCCCAGGCCAGACCAGGAGAGATGTGTTAGAACCCCCTTTTTTTCCCAAATCCCGAAATATTTTCAGATTCAGCCATATCTGGACTCCTTTTCTTTCTTCCTCTCCTAATTTTCACAGGCACTTCTGCAGCTGTAGACTTGCACAGATACTTGAAACCACACCATTTACAGCACCACTAATAACAGGTGTCTGCCAGACTCAGAATGAACAGTCTGTGTGCATCTTATGGACTGACAGTCAGATCTACCTCTAAGCTACCTTCTTTAAGTCCATGAAATCCTCTGGATCTCCGTGAATTTGCCTGAATATAAATCTGAAGCTCACTGTGCATGAATCAAGTTGAACCAGTCCACCTAATTAAGCAAGGGCTTCTCCCACCCACAACGTTTGCAAACACTGGTCGTGTCCAAGTGAAATGACAACTGATTTTAATCCAAGCTCTGCCCCCCGTGAACAGCAAAGCTCCAAGGGCTGCCCACAGGTTCTGGTTCTGTTCCCCAAACCATGGCATTAAAGCTGTGAGGGGTTGGGATGGCTGACAACCACTGGGTTTGCCTGAGCAAACGAGTGATGCTGACTTTCTCTCCCAGGCCCACTGGGTGCTGGGTGTGATTAAAGACAAGCCAAGAAGGACTGTGTGCTATTAATTCTATCGAGGAAATCTTCTGTGTTATGCATTAGATGTATGTGGTTTATTCTGGGGGGAGAGGAAATAGAAAAGCACCTTTGGTTGTGTTGTAACATCTGTGAGTACAGCTGGCTCTTTTTCTCTGTGTTCCACTTATTATGTGCAATTTGGATGTTTTCTTCTCCAAACTCAGATAACCAAAAAAACACAACACAGCTCTAAAGAGGAGAAACTTGCAGTGCTTGTTATTACCAGGGCAAAACTCCCACTCCTGTAGCAGAGACAGGAATGGCCAAGCTCTTATTCAGCCTTGGTTGTAATATCTGCTGTTATTTGTCAGCCTGCACATAATCAGGTAATTTAATGTAATTCCTACGCTTTCAATCAGGTCTGGTGAGCAGCTGGCAGAATTCAAGCCTACAGATTTTGTCTAATGGCACAGTCTGATTCCAGACCCAAAGCTGGCTGACAGTGCTGTCTCTGTGTCCACAGCAGAGCCCAGCTCTGCTTCTGCCACTGCAGCCTGGGCTTGGGAATGGGGAGACTCCAGGCTGGGATGGGATCACCTCCATCCTGCAGGCAGCCTCACCTGGATGGAAATGAGATTAAACACCTTCTCTCTTGTTAAATGGCTTGAACTGTGTCTTGCTGAGGAGAAGGAGCAAATACATGGGGATGAAGGAGCACAGATGTCTGGGGTTTGTATGAACTTTGCTCTATCTTGATTCCTAAGTTTGATCAAGAAATGTGATGTTCCATGTCTTATTTCTCCTGTCACTGAAAAGCAGCAACACGCCCCTTCCATGCTGAAGAAGATGTAAAGCTTAACTCCCAAATGACCATGAAATGGTTTAATGAAAAATAGTGAGGAAATTTGAAATGTTCATTATTGGGCAAGATTTGAGCATCCTTTTCCAGACAGCTGCTGCAAATTCAGGTTTTGCCTTTAAAACAGGGGAAGCCTTGTGTGTGTGCTGCCTGTGTGCAGAGAGGAAGGCAGACCAGCTCCCCCTGAGAAGTGTGGCTCCACCAGCCTCCTTGGGGAAGCACAGCCTGGCCCATCTGCTGCTCCAGAGCTGGGCTTTAATAGCTGGATCTCAGAACAGATGAGGTCTCCTTCCAGCCCTGCCTGGCTCACTGCTGCCTGAGCCCTCCTGTTTGCCCCTGGCTTTCCTCCTTGCCTGACTGGTGTGTCCAGCTCCAAGTTCAGGTGCCTGTCAGAGTGACAGGCAGCAGCACACACTGCTGGGGCTTTCAGGGCTTCAGGCAATGACGAGTCAGAAGGACTTGCTGCTCAGGGCTGTTTTATTAAGCAATAACTAAAGATGTGTAATATTTTCACGCCCTCTCCCAGGGGAGGGCTGGAGATGGTTTCTTGGTGTGTTGCATCAACATTACTTTTCTGAGTTGCAAAACACCCCAAGAAACAACCTGAGAGTTACCTTGAAGAAGGAGAACCTGGATGTATCAATGTTGCACAAACACCAGTGACACCCCAGGAGAATTGCACTGTGCATGAGATTAATGCACAGAATGTGGAAAGTTTCAGTCTTTCCTCCCGTTTCCTTGAGAATTTCTCTGTTTGGTGCTGTGGCAGCTCTGGAAACACGGCCACTGCCAGAGCACTGGTGCTTCTGGGGAGCAGGAGAAAGGGGAGAGGGGCTGGGGGCTTCTGAGCATTGCAGGGCTGTCCTGGAGGCAGCAGGGTCCTGCCCCACAGCAAGGCAGTGGTGGGACAAACAATTAATTACTCACGACCCTCCCTGAGGCAGGCTGGTCATTGCTCCAGCAAAGCTGTGCTGAGGCACTTTGGGCCAAGCAGGGGGGTGTGAATGATTGAAGGTTTCTGCTCAATTGGGACTGAAAGAGGCTTAAAAGGTCTCCTTGAAGAACTCACAGCTCCTGCACAAGTGGTCACGGTTTCAGAGTGACTAGAGCTGACAAAGGAAAGGCACAGAGATACAGAGACAGAAATAGATGTGCACTGGGTGCTCGGGTGCTGTGATGACATTTGGGCAGACACTCCCCAGGTGTCTGGCTGAACCAAGGCAGAAGGGGAGCTGTTCTCTGCACACGTGGCCTCTGAGCTTGTGGGCTTTGTGGGCAAACCTTAACCCAGGGAGAGGGAGAGATGCATTTTGCCTGGTGGGAAAAATGACAGAAACAAGAAGGGAGACAAGTGTGTTTCTCTGTTGCTTTCGTTGCATGTGCTCATGTTTTGACAGACGGTCCTTGTGCTCCCTGGTGCTGTCCTGACACGTGTGCTTGGAGGACTGGCAGTGACCAGAGCGCTCCACTAACACCTTTCTTCCCCCTCCCTCCTCCAGCTGTGGAGATGAGAGATTAATTCTCAGCTGTGATAGTCATTGTCTGCCTGTGCAGGTTCATCAGGTGCAACACGAACTCAGGCTTGTCTGAACCTTGATGATAAGCTCTCCTTGTTAAAAGCCATTATATTTGCTACTAGCTGAGTATAATTCTGACTGACTACAGCAGTTCTCCTCTGCATGTAATTGAATTCATATTCATCATAAAGCAATGAAAAATAAATTGTGTGTGTGTTTTTTTCCCCCTCATAAAGCAAGGCATGCTGCTGGCTCTGCCTTCCCTCTAATCTTCCCCTTTGCAAGGTATTGTAATGGAATTCATGGGAACAGAGCAGTCAAAATAGATTGTGTGGTTTTGACCCACCCAGCAGAAAGTGAGTTTATTTCAGTGCCAAGCAGGAATTGATTAATTCAGTTGGCTTCAAGGGAAAGCTGAAGTCTTGGTTTGAGGTGCTTCAATACCAAAGGACAGTGCTGGCTCAGCTGGAGGCTGACTTTGGTGGTGTGGCAGAGCCCCTTGGCCTCAAGTTGTGGTGGGGGTTTCCAAAATACACCACTGATCTGTTGGTTTGAGTCTAAATTCTTAAAGTCTTAGTGTCTCCAAGCAAGGTTATCTATTATTCCGTGGCGCTTACTGTCCCTGGGGCAATGACATGAGCTTGGTGCAGAAGAGGAGGAGGACTGGTCTGGGGCTGTGGGCACCAAAGCTGAGGGCACAGGGCACTGCTGTGCAAGCTGCTCATTCCCTGCTCCTCATCCTGCCCTGCAGCTGGTGGGTTCCATCCCACTGATCTACTGTAGAGATGTCCTCAAAGCAAAAACATTGATCCTCTCTAAATTCTTTTAGAAACCCTTTCGCCTGGACATCTCACAAATGGCAGATAGTTGATGGGGAGCTGGTCAGCTGAGCCCATTGCCTCCTCCCCATCTGTGCTTACCTTTTCCTTTTGTTCTCCTGTCTTTGATAGGATCCAGAAACCAGGAGCTGATGGTGCCTGTGAGCAGAGCTGCCACTGTGCTGCAGAGGTCTGTCAGAAATGCTCTGACAGGAAAAAATTCATGTTTTCTGCAGCCCCTGGCTTCCTGCCAGCTGTGGGATAGCTGCTTCAGAGGCAGAGCAGACCAGACAGTCCTAATGCATCAGAAAATGAGTGAGTTTTGTTCAACAAGGGACCTAAACATCTTTCGAGTTAATCATTAATTCCATTATGGTGAAATCATTAATTACATTTTAATACTGAAAAATGTTACTTCTGCAACTCATGAAATGAACATTAGGAAAAGAAATAGAGAGGAACTTGTTGGTGAGGGAGCCTGGGAGTTGTGTGAGTGAGCAGCAGGAGCTGGGGATGTTGGGGTCCTCTGTGAGGAAGATATTCCTCTCTGATGAGTCCAAACGACAGAACCTGACCATGCAATGGGACGAGGAGGGTTGATACACAACTGTGTTGCAAGACAAAACAAGCAGCACCCTCCTCTGGGGACCAGGGCTGGGTCACCTTCGCACTGGGCGCTTTGCTCTGGTGGCTGTGTGGTACCTGAGGGACAAGCTGAGGCTGTGAGGAAACAATTACTGCGTGCAACTGTTAATTCATCTGTTTTCTGCCTTATGAGGGAACTCAAGAATTAAAGCAGAAGGGAATTTTGATGCATGATGCAGTAACTCTGCTGGGCATTTGACAGTCCTCTCTAAGTTAGAAGTCTGTTTTGATGGCTGTTCCTTGGAGTACCATACTGTGCATAAATACTCTTTCCGTTTTCACCCTTGTAGTTCTGATATTTTCTATAGCTCAGTAAATATTTGCTGCTGGAAATTGGAGTTGTCACATGAGATCAGAAAAGTTGTTTCCTTAGGTCAGAATGTTTTCCAGGCCCATAGAGACAGTTCAGATGCCATCAAGTGTAATCCAGAGGAGCATGTTCAGTTTATTTGTGATATGAGTCTGATCCCACGGATCCCATTGTGAGCATCTTTTAGTTTTCTGCTAATACCTTTCCTTTCTCCCTGGAAATTGGGCACTTACAGCACTGTTAAGAAAAAGAGAGTGACCAAGAAGGAAAGCCAAGGTGAATCAATGGAAAAAGAAGCAGGAACCCATCTCCTCCAGAGCATTGCAGGAGAGGGAATTACCACTAAGCCCTGCTTGGGCTGTGGCCCTCTGAAGTTTAATGTTCAGGAGATAGAGACTTAGCACCTGGATCTTCCCCTGAAACCACCAGAGGGGGGAAGTAAAAAAAAAAAAGAGGAATAGGCAAACTCCTGCTCCCATCGCTACCGCACGGGATGTGTATCCTCACCTGGTGGGTGACTGGGTCCCTCCTCCCTCTGAGCTACAGAGCTGCTTAAGGAAAAAAACCCAGCACTTATTCGCAGATGCTTAAGCTGATTGCATCCATGACCCGCCTGGTCAGCCCGTGAATATCACTTCCCTCCTCTCCCCATTTAATCACCGCTGCCAATCAGCGCTATTGAAGAGAGCAACAATACGTTTTAAAGCTCAATCACCTTCATAATCGTCTCACTGTCAGCACATATGTCTCCCTGGAGGGTGGAATTGCTGACAGATGAGACGCGGGGTGGTTTTGCAATGGAAATGCTCGCTCCTGTGCCTGTGGGTCTTGTGAGCCCACATATGACAATGTATATACATGAGTGTGTGTGTTTTGCTCCTGAAAAGTAGGCTAAGTGTTGGGAGCAGCGTGTGTGCACACAGCAAACTATGCATTTAAACAGAATTCAGCTTCTTAAATGTTCAACCAGCTGGGAAATATGCTTAAAAACAACAGTCATTTTGCTGGTCAGCATTTAAATGCACGCTGTGGATGGAGCGGGCTCACGTGGGGTGGGTGCCTCGTAGTCCTTGTGCTGGAAGGTCTTCCTGGTGCTAAATCTCACTGTTACCAAGTTGTGCAAGCTGCTCATTTTTGGTTTTTTGTTTTCTTTTTTTTTTCTTTAAATTGAAAGGGATTGGAGTTTCTGAGAACTTGCCCAGTTTTTCGTGGCTGGTCGGTCACGGGACAGTCTATTCCAGTCCGGGTAGATGCTCCAGGGAGGCAGGGAACTCCCACTGCCCAGCCTCCATCTCCTCCCTCTGTCCCAGCAAAAAAGTCCTGTGACAGTTTGTATTCCCCCATAGAAACTTTCAGTCTCAAGAGATGGGTGTTTCCCTGAAAAGTCCTCTTCAGCTGAAAAATTTCCTACTCTAATAGCTATCCACTCATTCTTTTCCAGCTTTCTCTCTGCTTCATCCCTCTTGATGTGCAGCAGCCAGAGATGAACTTTCTTAGTCTCCATGTTCTGGAGTGGCCCATCTGGCACTTGTCACAAGTCCTACCCTCAGTTTTGGGGGGAGCACAAGAAGCCATGATCCCTGTCAGCTCTGAGAGGTGAGCACAGGCCTCCAGTCCTGCACTGCTGGTGCTGGATATTGCTCCTTGGATCATGAACTTCTGACCTGCCCCACAGTGCAAGACTGTTGGTGTACAGTGCCCTGTTGTGATTCATCACCCCGCAGTTCAGATGCTAATTATAATCTGCCTCTTGTCTATGCCCCTAGGCTATAATTTTAATCCCAAACATTTGGGTGCAATGAAGCTTTTCTGGCTTACATCCTGGTGTAACCTGTGATTTATAACCTGCTGGAAATACAAAGTCACATAAGAGGGAACAAAAATAAAACAACAGCAAACTTTCGCCCTTTGACATGTAAAAAACGTTGTGATGGCTTTAAAGTTTGCAAGGAAAACAACCGAAAGTGAAATCTACATCTGTGTGTTTCTCGTTTCATACATCTGTAGAAAGGTAATTTTCGAGGGCCAGGTTTTCTTCCCTGATGTTCAACAAGGCAAATCCTGATATCCACTGACCCAGAGGGAATGCTGTGAGCAGGATCAAATCACAGTAATTT